TTAAAAAAGTTTAAATCTGATTTAAAATATTTTTGGAAAAAAAATTTTGCTTATTTAAATAAAAATAAAACTTTTTTTTTTTCTATTTTACATTGTAGGGTTCCTAACTCCTTTGTCTAAGATGAACATCGTGGAACCTAGTGAACTATGTAGCAATGTATCACTGAGTTCAAAACAGCTAAGACATAGACTTGAGAAGGGTTAAAATTCAATTATATTTCACTCAAATAAGAATAACTGTCAGCCCCTTCTCGGACTTACAGGAAGCCTCTACTCGGACTTTAACTCAGAGTAAGAAAGTAAGAAGCTAAGTTACTGTTAACTAAACTACACTTATCCGAAACTAGACACACTTATCTAATGAATGTAGTTGACCCTTAAATTAAATTACCAGCGAGGAGCAGTAGGTACGTATAATATGGCCGAGCATAACAGTTTCAAGAATGAGTTAGCCAGATGGCAAGCACGCAGTACTAAGGACTCCTAGCACTCTCTATCAAAGTAAGTTGAACCTTCCTTAAATACTTCTTCTAACTCATTTGCATACAACGCAATTATAAAAACTCATTCTGGTAGGGAGTTGTAAATGGAAACAAAAATTGATAGGAAAGGATTTCATAATTAAAATAGGCCGTACAACATAACTACATGCAAAAATTTGCATTCTTATGATTTAAAAAATATTAAATCTGTATTAGAATCAATTTTCAAAGTATTAATTTAAAATTTTAATTGTTTAAAATATTTTTAAATTTTTTCAACATAGTTCATAATTTCAAACAGTATATATATATGTTTCACATTGTAAATTAAAGTGTGGTTTATACGTCCTTTGTGAATGGTTCATTGAAAAGACATGTAAATTGTGCTTCACTGTATATATGAAATTTATGAGGAAAAAAATTAGTTTTAAATTAAATGAATTATTTCTTTCATGAAAATGAGTTGTTTTATTTTCAAAATTTTTTATATTGCTGGTTCTCATTGTATTTTTGCTGAAATGAAAAATTTGAGATTGACAAATTTTCACTAGACTAATAGAAAAACAACCAACAACAAACCCCTTTTTTTTATTTTGACATTTCTGCTAATTCAAGGTGGTTTTCTCCCTTCTCTACTCTCAAACTTGTTTTTTATTTAAAGAGAAATGCCAAGCAGTCATACTCTTGTTTTTCAGCAAACCCAATTGCCCTTTTCTTTGAAATTTGATTTCTCTTCCTCCTCATCTTTCAAACAGAAATTAAAGTGGCACAGGAAATAAGACTATTACAGATACCACAGATTGTATACAAGACAACAAATGAGTGGGGAAAATGTGTTTGCTTCAGATAGAATTACAAATGTTCAAACTACTATCAATTGGCATCTGGCATTTTGGTTTTGATTTAGTTTTGAACAGCAATTTGATTGGAAAATATTCCACCCATTTTACCTACTTGGCAACATTTTCGCCCTCATAGTGACATGTTTTAATGCTAATCCCACATATTGGCGGGATTCCCCCCCCCCAATATGTGGGTTTTGAATTTTGTTTCTGGTTTATATTCAGATCAGCTAATATTTGGAAATGTATAGTCCTTGAAAAGGTGTATTGATTATCAGAAGTGCCTTACATCAACCATATGAAGAGGTATTGGTGTCAGGCGAAATAAAATTATTTTTTCTACCTTCTAATAATGTCACTTATATTATAGAGCATCATTGTGTAATTCAAACTATGAAGTGAAATTATGAGGAAGGGCACTTGTTTTTACATGTTCTAAATGCTGAAGGTAATATTAGCAAAGCAGTAAACCACATTGTGCCAGAAGATGTTATTTATGTGCATAATAAAGTCAAATAGGCAATCTCTCAAACCTTCTGATAAAAGTTTAGTAAAAAATAAATAGAAAAAATTAAAGCAATGCTAATAGCCAGACAACAAATAGCAGTGAAGACATGTTTTAAAATTAAAGGGTAAAAGCATGTGAAGACATCCCTTAAGATGTTTTGAAATGGATAAACATTAACAATAAACTGGTTTTCAAGTTTGGTGGTGTGTGGTGTATTTAATTATGGCAAAGCACACTAGGGCTATCTGCCTAAGGGGAGGGATGCCTTCGTGGAGGACTTTCTAAGGGAAACTGGTTCGTATACATGTTACACATGGGGAAAACCACGAAAACACCCATGCAGCCAGCCCGTTCGCTGGATTCGAACCTTGGACCAAACTATCAGTGTTCAGCAACTTTACCGCTCGGCTGCTGGTGGGCCTTTCAAGTTTGGAGTGATGAAGAAATCATTCACATCAGAGATCCAGAGAGCAACAAAAATTACAATGATGAGAGTGATGATTATGGCATGGAAAAGAACAGTGTGAAAATTAGCCATACTGTAGAACAAAGCTCTCCAATATTAAGAGCAACATGCCAATTCTTTTCTTCTGTTGATCAAAACTGTCATAATTGTGTGGCAGCTTATAGGGTTATCAGTTTGTTACAAAAAAGAGTAAGACAAAAGTATTCCTATAAAAATTCATTTGACTGCCCAGCTTCACAGTGTTTTACAGTTTGCATAAATTTCGATGAAGTTTGTTTATTCTAGTTTTTTTATTAATGTTTTATAATTTAAGGATTATCTGTTTAATTGAAGGAAACAATATTGATTATTAATAAAACAGTTTCTTATAATGTTAAAAAGCATTCAGACTCTTATTTTGAGAATTCCAATCTTGTTGAGATTTCAAATGTAGTCTGTGTTAGTCAAGTTTTCAATTATCTGAAGTGGTTATGATTTTATTTATTTCAGATAATCTGGGTTCTACTGTATTTATAATAATTTTGTAGATACATTTATAAGTATGTTATAATTTAATTATAATAAAATATTTTAATTTAACATTTTAAAATTTCTATTAGAAGTGTAGTGGTAAGTTTAATCGGTACTTTTCTGTTTCGTCGGAGCAAATCTCGCCAAGCAGACTTTATTGGCGACAACATACAGTATACAAATAAAAAATATTAACAAATGTTAGTTCTAAAATTTTTTTATTTGGAGGGCATAAACATTTTAATATCATTTAAAATTATTGTAAAAAAGCCAATAAATAAAGACAATAAATTTGTAAAAAATTTTAATTTAAGAATTTACTATACTTTCATGATTCAACACCCTGATTCGTCGGTTCATATCGCATGACCACAAGTGATCTCATCTCATAAACTACGCTACAAAAATCTAATTCTCTCAGTAATTATCTTTACTCAGATATTATGTAAATCTGCGGTACTTTACTTTGTTAGTGCATTTCATTAGAATTGATGAATTTAACCCTTGACTTTTCCTTTTCTATATTTTCGCCTTAGGGTGAGCGGTGTGATTGCATCCTAGTTGACTTAATTACCATGAATGGCCTTAGGGCTTAAAATTGAAGTATTTCGTAAAAATTCTATGTAATTGTATGCCAGTATTGAAAGAAACAATCTGATAAGAAATGGCTGTGAATTGTTTTGAAAATGAGGCGTAAAAGGTTACCAGCAAGGATATTACATTTGGCATCAGTTGTACCATTATTGGTGACTTTAACGCCTATGCCGGCAAAACGGAAAAGTACCATTTAATCTTATTTGATTGTGTATATAGTCAAAAGTCGTTAATCCGGACTCATCGCGACTTCGGCGATTCCGGATTATAGGTCATCAATTTAAATCTGGTAAGATGGCATGCAGAAATTATAAAATTAAAAATATGAAACCATAATTTATGAAATAAAGAACAAGTATGATCTAAAGGGTATCAAAATTTACAAAAAAAAAAGCTTAATATTTATTTGTTTACTTTATTAAACATTTCTTTCAATGTAAGTTGTTTAGGTTGCTTCGTTTTTTATGTGATAATACTTTCTCTTTAATTCTAATAAACAAACATAATCTCTTGCTCAGTTACAAAGTTCCACTGTTCAAGTCGTATAATTGCTGTGTCGAGAATGTCGACTAATTTGTCAATCGAAATTTTTTCGTTTTCAATAACCTCTGTGTCACTTTCTTCACTATCGGAAGCAAATTATAATGACGAGGAACTTGATATAAATCATATCAAAGTCGGAGTACATCGAGATGAAATACTACATTTAGTAAGAAATTATACTACATTTAGTAAGCCAAATAAAATAAAAACATCTGCCCTGAAGATAAGGATAGTGCTGATAGATCAACTTCCAATTCATTGCGCGCCGCGTCGTTTCCCTTCCCCTGCAGAGCAGCGTGAAATTGATAAACATATTTCGGAATGATTAGATGATCAAAGGATATGCATTTACCATTTTTTGCAGCAATTCCACTTTCTGTTTAATGGACTTCGAAACATACTTTCGCTTTGTAGATCCTTTGGGAGCTCCAGCATCGGAAATTCTATTTGACATAATTGAAAGTTCAAGCTTACTTTTATAAAATTGCTCTAACAGTCTGCAAAAAATAATAAGCCGGATCCAATTCGAAGATTAAGGAACAACGCAATCTGCAGCATTAACTGAATTAGATAATTTTAGCTTAGCTTATATCGTCCGTTATACATTAAACGCGCATTCGTAAACGTATTTTGCGCACATGCATATTCGCAGCCGTAACGGTCTTACGCGCATGCGTCAAAGAGACGCATGCGCAGAAAGTTTGTAGCTTTGAGGTTCGGATTATAGATCATTCCGGATTATGGGTGTCCGAATTAACAACTTTTGACTGTAATTTTCTATTTTATTGCCAATCTTTATAATTTTTTTATATATCCATTAGTTCTATCTATATTAAAATACATAAAAATAAGAAACATTCAATAAGCATTGTTTTCTGAAGCAACTGTTTTAGCAGTCTTTTTTTTAATTGCACTTTGTATTTAATAATTATTATAGTTTATGATGGCTTCATGATTAAATTTCCATTTACATTTTTAAAAAGAATGCTTTTCAGTTCATTTGGGATTATACATACTTACTGTGAATAATAAATTTTTACTCTTCTATTATTTAGCTTTTTGTTAGATCGCCTTCTCAGATATGAAACTGTTGAGTCTTCATCTAGTGATTCTGAGGCAACTGTTTCTAGTGATTCAGATAATGAATTCAGGGCAGAACTTTTGACTCTCAAAAAGTGAGCATGTATTCATTTAAATAAGATCTAAAGCAGTTTTTAAAGACTGAGGTATCAAGTTTTAAAGATCAAAAGTTTGATTTTATTAAATTCATTTTTAATGTCAATTTTTAATATCTAAATATACTGAATTAAGTTAAAAGAAAATAAAGTGGAAATATGTTCATGAAATGTAGTGTTTTATGTTTTTAACAAATTTAAATTTTTATTATCTTGACAGAAAAAGAACTGCAGTGAATGCTGAAAATCAAGATGCAAATGCTACAAATTCAGCAGCTAATAATGCAGTGAGTAAATTTTAGATTGCCAACGTAGTATTTTTTTCTTTCTTCTATTACCCCCTTCTTTTCTTCTTTTTATAGTCTTTTTTTCTTTCTCACTCTCTCTCTTTTAATTGATAAGCAATTAAATAAATTCATAATTGAAACAATACCCAAATTCTTAATTACATACATATATATATATATGCAATAAAAAAATATACAGTACAAAGTCCATAATCCGGACTCGTCGGGACATCGGTGATTCCGAATAAGGGGTTTTTCCAGATTATAGATCATCAATTTAAATCTGGTAAGATGGCATACAGAAATTATACAATTAAAAATATGAAACCATAATTTATGAAATAAAGAGCAATTATGATCTAAAGGGTGTCAAAATTTATTTTAAAAAAAGCTTAATATTTATTTGTTTACTTTATTAAACATTTCTTTCAACGTAAGTTGTTTAAGTTGCTTTGTTTTGTGTTCTAAACGCACATGCGTAAACATTAAACGCGCATGTGTAAAGCATACAAGAAAAAAGTCTATGGCTTTGAGGTTCGGATTATAGATCATTCCGGTTAATGTACTTCCAGATTATGGACTTTGTACTGTATTAAACTATTTTCTGATAGCCATCAGTCATTTTTTGCCATTTGATAATTTTAACACTTATTTAAGGTATTAAGTACTTAACTGTAAAAAGAGAATTTTCTGCAAGTAAGTTAAAATTTATTTATTCATATCATAGTATAATAAAATTTCATGTGAAGAAAAATTCAATAAAATTTCTTATTTAATAGCTTCTTTTTTTAATATGAATCTTGGTCATTATGCTGGCTTTTCTGAGCTGGAGAAAGGTTTTTATTAATTGTCGGGGGGGGGGTTGTTCTTTACAAGTTTAAAATTCTGTGTAATAGTTATGTATCCTTTAAGTGTACAATTATGAGAATAAATAACTGTTTGCTTTAGAATTGCTTTGAAGGAGATTTTTAGTAAATGGTACTTATTTATTGTGTCTTAATTAAATGTTACTTATTTATTGTGTCTTAATTAAATGTTACTTATTTATTGTGTCTTAATTAAATGGTACTTATTTATTAGGGCAACCACCTTAGCACAGTTTTGTGAATTTTGTTGGGGGAAAAAAAAAAAAAGATTGATGCTTATTTAAAATAATAATAAACCTACTAACAAACAGGCTTTTTTCGCTTTGCTCTGGAGGAAATTTCATGAAGATAGGCTTTAAGAAGAAATTCAAAGCAATTGTTCCTTTAGTGATTTTGTGTCAAAATACTGTATTTCTGCGCATATTTTACTGCACGTTGCTCCAGAGCAGGCAAATCACACAAGCACACGTTTCAAATTATGTTTGAGACAGCACATGTTTAAAATTATAAAATTCCATTGGATTTTGGAATGTAACAAATTAAAGAATGCATATGAAAATTATGCCATAAAACTGAAAATTGTTGTGCATATAGTTGCCAGAGATGACCACAGTCTGACACTTGGATGTCTACTAAGATGGTTGCAATAATACTTTAGTACTATTAATTTAAATAGATCTGTAATTAGATGGTATTTCTGTGAATTCATCTTCAATGATATATAAAACAATCTTAAATACTAATTATATGCGTTTTGTATAAAATATAAATTATATTTTTTATGCGTTCTTTTTTTTTTTCTTTTTAGCAAAGTGGTGATATGAAGAAGAAGAAAAGCAGAAAAACATGTCTTTCTAAACCAGGTTTGCAAAACTTTTGTTGTTTTGTATTATCACTTGATGAGGTGGATATGTGATACAATAAACCCTTGCCAAGGGCAGATGTGTGGAATGAGTTCTCATATGCATGATATCCTAATTGTTCCCATTTAATTTGTCCAATTTGCTAATTTTTTTCATACATACTTCATTTTTCATCCGTCAACACTGAGTGCTTGCTGGAATAACTCTGGCAAGATGTTATTAACAATTTTAAAGAACTTCCATCGCCAAAATTTATACACTTAAGTTATGCACTATAAAATGAAAAATTTAAATAATTATTATTTTAAATTAATATAAATCTAGTTAATGATAGATGTGGTACAAAACCTATTAACCATTCTAGACCAAAGACCATATATCCCCATTCATCTTCAACTGAACTGATTGAAAATGAAACAACAAAATTAGACAGATTGCAAAACATATTGGTGGCAAAGGATTTTCAGATAAGGAGAAGTCAAAGAAGACAGTGAAAATGGTGAAGGAAAAAGAGCCTTTAATATGCAAGAAGTTTAACAAGTTGTTAAAAAGATGACTATCTGATTTTGCTGAGATTGATCCAAACAAAGAAAGAAGACACATTATGAGAGCTATTGAAAAACTTTGTGCTCTTATCACAAAGTTTTAAAAAGTTGCTTCAGTCATCGCCCGTAGTAAAAATCAGCATTTTAAAAGCGTAATTGTGTTATGTCGTACTAAGCAGTAGTAAAAATCCTTTCAGTTAACATTTGTTTCATTTTTCTCTTTTAATTACAGCAATATTTAAGTTTGTTTAATTTATACATACTTTCTTAATATGCATTATACTTAATGCATTTTTAGCATAGAAAGTTAACTTTTCAGTATACAATTTTGCCCTGCACACAATGTTTTAATGACATAATCCCCACATTTGTCAAGGGTTTATTGTATTTATTAACAGCAAAGGATATGATTTAAAAAGTTTCATTTTGCACTGTATGTGTTATAACAGTATTGCACATCAGAACAAAATCATTATTTATTATAAATATAATTATTTATTTAAATTTTTTAAAGTATATTTTATACAGGAGAGCCATACAGCACTAGAATTCTTTTTTTAATGGAACTATGAACTATGTTTTATTAATAGAACCATGTCTCACAGTATTTTCCAGTGTATAAGATGTGCTTCTTCTTTAAAATTTTGTGCCTGAAAACTGGGTGAATCACACAAAAGTGGTGGCGTTGCAGCAAACCAAGGGTAAAGTATTATCGATGGCATATATTGAGCATGCATGTTAACCGTTAGAATTCCAACTAAAGATAAAAACAAAATTAAACAGACAAAATAAATAAAAACTTGATTTTACTGTTACTTGTACAAAAGAAGATGGATGGTGTGAAAATGGAAAATGATGAGGTATTACTGTTTGGTAGTATTATTCCCTTCCCTAAAATCAACTTTATGAAACGTCATCTTTAGCTTTTCTTTGTCTCTAAGCGGTATTTGACTTTGAGCGAGACTCATTTGGGCCTCCTTCTCATAAAAAATTTGTTCAATGTGACTTGTTGCTGCTTAGATTTTAAAATGTTTCTAAAGTTAGACATGGCATTGTCAAAAAAAGTGCTTATACTGTAGCTTGCTGCTGCTTTATCAGAGTGACATCAATATATGAAAACTTTGCAGCTGCTCCATTTTGCAGGGATTTTGCAAACCAGAGAACTAGGATCATTTTTTCCCTTTCACTTCTTTTGAAGAAATTTCTATAATTGTGTACTGTTCTGGTTCTGTGGTTATTGTAGTTCTTTCTTGTTGAATTCATTTTTATGGTCCTTTAGTAACTTTTCCACATCTTTATTGTTAATTTTCTAAGCTATAGTTTGTCTTCGAGACACAATATAATAAATTTTAAAAAACTTTGTAAGGGTCTAAACCAGATGTCAGCAACCTATGACCTGTGGGTCACCGAGTGGCCCATTTGGTAATTTCAAGTGACCCACTTTATTTCCGAAAATAAAGTATAAGATATACAAACATTTTTTTCTTTTTTCCAAAAATTTTTTGTCGCAAAGCTATGAACGTACCAAATTTGAATCCAGTACAACATATAAAATTATCAGTTAAAACCTCAGGCATGAAAGTTTTCCATGTTTTCGCAGAATTCTGCTTTTTTGAATGTCACCCGGGCTGTTTCTGAGATCGATGCAGAACCGTTGAGAAATCGCGACTGGCAAATGTTGGGGGGGGGGGTAAATGGAGGACATGCTCTCTCTCTCTTCCTCTTTTCTTTGTAAAAAAACTTTACATCATGTCATCGTATAATATTACGCCGTGTTAGCGATCAAACGCGGGTACCCCTTGTTGTGAATTTTTCGAGTTTGCCTGAGCTGAGATCGCGAAATACGTTGTTTAACATCAAGGCGAAGTAGGTGGGGTTTATGTGGAGAGGCAGAACTAGACGCGTACGAATATCGAATCAAAGAAGAGCAAGCAACCGTCAAACGAGAGTTGACTTCAATAATTTCAGCGATCGGTGCTGGCGCCATCTGTTGGACATACGGATAACCACTTGCATTCTCCAGTACACAAAACTCTATGTAAAAATTTAAGGAATGCTCATAAACTGTACAAAGAAGAACTAGAGATTGAAAAGGAGGAACGAGAATCTAGAAAAAAAAAAAAAAAAGCAATTAAACATTGCAGAAAATAAAGAAGTATAAAAGCTGCTGAAAAGAAATTGAGACTAGCTCGCAAACGGAAATTAGAAAAGTTGGCTGCAAAAGTAGCAAAAAAGAAAAAGCTTTTTCCCTAAAAATTTTTAATCAGGATCGAGTGAGACAGACAAAATAGCTATTTTTTGTATTCCTCCTTTAACTATATGTTATTTTGCAACTATATTATCTTACATGACTACTTTTTCTGGTGTTATATAAAGTACTGTTTATTGAGTTAAAAGTGAAGATAATTGAAAGCTATAGTAACAATTATATATATATTTTATCTCTAAAACTTGTCATTGCTTGAAAATGGGCAGTAATATATAACATATAATGTATATTAGTGTGTTGTAATGTTGCGTACAGTATTCATGTATCAACAGTTAAATTAAGTTACATAAAGGGCATCTTAAAGAAGGTTAATTCATTACAATCTCTTGGTAATTTTTTTTTTTAAATATATATATATACACAAGTGGAAGATAAAATTAATAGCAAAATAGTAAGTACAAGTATTATTTTAGTTTAATTATATGTATATGTTTAATACTTTTTATATTAAAAGATTGATGTTTTATTAAAATGTGTTTTTTTTTTAAGGTTGCGCGTGTGCAATTAGTTTTTGTGTAATTTTGTGTTCGTGCATTGTTCAGCTTTTTTTGCCAACTTGCACTTTCATGCCTGCCCCACCCCCGCCTGAGTGGATATGGAATCGGCTGATAGTATGCGGAATGCAGCGACATTGTCTGAACAAATTGTACCATTCCTGAATGCGCGCCCCACCCCCGCCTGACTGGATATTGAATCGGCCGATAGTATGCGGAATGCAGCGACATTGTCTGAACAAATTGTACCATTCCTGAACGTGCGCATTCCTGGACTCAGTTGTATGTCAGTTATAGTTATAGCACGTGTAGTACTGTAGCACAGTAATATTGACCTAGTGACCTAGTGAAATAAATATTATTATTTAAAAAAATTACCATGAACAAACAAAAAGCAAAAAAGAGATTATTTCAAGATGTGTGGACAGAAAAGTATGGGTGTATCGAAAATGATGACAAATTGATATGTACTTTATGTACAGATATAATTACCGCCAGGACTTTTCTTCAAAGCATAAAGATGTGAGTGAAATGGCAAATGAAAATAAATCTGAATACATTGCTAAACGTGTATTAAATTTTGGAAAACAAAATAAATTCTTAAAGAGTTTTGTTACCAGCAACAATCACGCTACATCTGCAGCTTTGTTACAGCTCTTAGCATTGGTACCAACGGAAAACCATTTACAGATGGCGAGTTTTTGAAAAACGCATTCATAAATTGTTCCAAACACTTATTTAATGATTTCGCAAATAAAAAGCAAATAATTGAGAGAATCAAAGAAATGCCATTGTGAGTTAGAACAGTCCAGCGTCACGTTGAAGATATGGCCAAGAATATTGATGAACAGGTCAAAAATGATTTGTTATCTTGTGACATAATTAGCATTGCAGTTGACGAAAGTACTGACATAAATAGTATTCGTAGGCTTGCAATAATTATTAGATTTGCATCAATAAATAGCTCGAATGTCAATGAATAACTATGCGTTCTTGCTTCAATGAATGACACCACCAAAGGCACGGATATTTTTCGTTAAGTACAAGAGTTTACAAATTTCAAAAATGGACAAGTATTGGATTTAAAAAGTAAATTGTTTTCCATAACAACTGATGGTGCTCCAAGTATAAGAGGAAAAACTGTTGGATTTGTAAAACTAATGGAAAATGAACTTGGCCGTTCACTTTTATCGTTTCATTGTATCATACATGAAGAAAATTTATTTGCAAAGGCATCTACACAACAACTTAAGGATGTAATGGAAAAAGTTAAGATCGTAAACATGATGATAGCACAATCAGCATTAATACACAGGCGCTTTAAAGCTTTTTTGGAGGAAATTGAATCGAAATATGGAGATTTGTTATTTCATTCTGAAATATGATGGTTAAGTCGGGGCAAAGTTCTTAATGGATTTGTAGAGTGTTTTGATGATATACAAATATTTCTTCACGAAATCGGTGAAAATGAGATCTCGAACTCAATGATAAACAATGGTTTTTAAGACTTTTGTTCTTAACAGACATAATGAACCATAATAATTATATAATTATAATGACTTCAACGTACGACTCCAAGGAAATAACCACACAATTTTGAAAATGTATGAGGAATGGAAGAAGTTTTACTTCAAAATTGATATTATTTGAAACTGACATAAAAACTAAAAAAAATTTCATTTCTTTCCTTGTTAAAAAGGGAACATGAAAAAGAAAATATCGATGAGCGCAATCTAAATATGTTCGAAACTTGGATTTCGATCATTAAAAGTGACTATGAAAGTCGGTTTCAAAGTCTAAAGAAACATGGAGAAATGTTTACATTTATAATAAAGCCAGATGAAATAGAAGAAAATATTATAAATTTGCAGTATTTTGAATATCTAAGAATTGACAATTTTAGTTTTAGAAAGGATAGATTTTAAAAGTTCAACATTATGGACAGATAAATTCAAGAAATTGCGGAACGATTTGGAAGATAGAGAAGATAATCATTTTCTCATGATATCAACATGTTGGGCATCACTTCCTACGAGGTTTCCATCATTTAAAAAAAAATTTCCTTTGCCATTTTGTCCACATTCGGGTCTACTTATAAATGTGAGCAAATATTTTCACAAATGAAATTTATTTTAAGCAAAAACAGGAGCAGGTTAACTATTGAAAATTCAGATGCTTGTGTTCGACTTAAGACGACTAACTATAAACCAGACTTGACTAAATTGACGTCACAAGTTCAACATCAGGAGAGCCATTGATATCGTGGAGAAAGTTTATAAATAAAGTTTATTCAACTACGTTTGTAATTATTTTCTTAATAAAATATATCTTATTATTTACTAAAATGCTGTTTTAATTCGAAAATATCTCTGACCCAAACGTCTCTTTAATACTCGCATTTTAGTTGATTTTGACCCGCAGCCAAAAAAGGTTGCCGACCCCTGGTCTAAACTAAAGATATCAACCTGGTCCCTAACACCCACTAGTACGCATTTTGAGCTTAGATGGTGGGCGGTGGAAGTTTTTGTCTGATAATGATCAAGGAAGATATATACACACCCCTTCACACAACACTCTCTTCTTTCCATATATTTATACAGTTTGTTTGTTAATGAATTTTTTCTCTGTTAAAAATTTAATATTGTAAATTTAACTATATATTTTTTATTAAGCCTCCACTTAAAAGTTACTTTGCAGTTGTGCTATATAAGTTGTTGTGAACGGTTAAACAGTATAGAAAATTTACTGCCTATGAAGTGGGTAGTAGGTATAAAAAGGTTGATTATCCTTGGTCTAAATGCTTAGAGTCTGCCTGCAACCCAATCTGGCCATAATTTCATCCTGGTCGAATTCATGATCCCGTCAGTCACTTGCTGCCTGGAAATCTCTTGAGTGTTAATTATGTGGCAAAGGTTATCTCAGGAGATTTTTGAAAATCATAATTTTTTAAGCTGAGTGTTCGTAAGTCAAGAAAGATGCCATTCGTTATCCAAGGCATTTCATTGCTCAGGTGAGTTGTTCGTTAACCAAATTGTTTGTAATTCTGGGTTTCACTCTACTTTCATGAAATACAAGTACATAGTAAAAGAAGCTGTTCTACAGAAAAAATAAAAGGAATAGATAATGTGTAAAATACTAGGAAACATATAAAATGGAAGTAGTATAATAGCTTTGCATAGATTTATATATATATTAACCTAAAAACATAAAAAAGTATATGCCATTTTAGTACAATATTTGTTATTTGGTAAGGGGTAAAAATGCTTTTAAACGAGATTAAAATCAGGGTACAGATATTTCAGTACTTTCTGATTATCCGCACCCCTGCTGAAAAAGTATTTGCCGAAATACTTATGTAGCTACCCATGATGTCGTCAGAAAATATTTATATGGCAACTCGGGTACATGTCTGTTTTTGACCAATTCCAAATGGCACGCATGCTGAATTTATGCAATTCTATCAAGTTTTTATAAGAAAAACTGATCACCATATACACGAGGAGAACAACGGCACAAAAAAAAGGACTTCCTCAAAAACATTAACTGTTTTATTACCTATGTTTTTTGGATTTTATTGATTGATTGCTCTTGTAAGGAATTAGTTTGTGACTATTTAAAAAAATGGCTGTTGTTGTTCATGCAGCAACTCACAGAAAATTAGTTTCCAGCGAGTTGGTGAATGCTCTCCAAAGTCAGCAACGATTTTCCATCTTTTTGATATGGATGCACTTAATCAGAAAGTATTGATATTTCATTATTATAGTAACATATATCCTTCTGTTTCAATATATCCTTTAGATACTGTTAATATTTATTATTAATAAAAGATGTAAAGAAAGTGTATCTCAGAAGTTTTAAGATTTGTTTCATTATGGTTTGCAGAGACTGAGAATTATAATTTGAATTTTTATGTAACTAAGTATTTATTATATTGAATTTTAATATATTATTTCATAAAAGAATTAATATAAACATAAATGAGCTTTAAAATTTGCTGCTGTACCTTGTGATTGATAATTTGATGACTTTTAAGTAGATGAATGTAAGTAAATTTGATTGTGGTTCTCAAACTACATGTCATGGTGCTTTATGGCTAGTTTTCAGAGACAATAGTTTTCAGAGAGTTTGAAATATATAATTATTTTAATGTTTTTATTTCCACTGAAATTGCATTTAGTGCATGCAGTTGTACAATTGGATCACAAGTGTATAAGGACATCTAAAAGACTGCAAAAACCATTAATTGCTTCTGAAAAGCAAGTGACAGAACATCAGTTGATTTTAAAATATTGTTGCAAGAAAATATTGACAAATTTTCTTGGATTTATGACCCATTCAGGAACTGACTGTAGAATTTATTTCTGTAATTGAAATTCTTACTGAGCTTTCGTGCACAATGCACTAAGGCAAACTTCAATAGCATAACTTAACTCAATTAATCAGTAAACAGCAAGTATCTGCTGCTAAAGGAATCTAAATTCCATTTACATCAGTCATAATTATAAAAATGGATTTTTAGCAGTTTATATGTTTAAAAGCAAATACCATGAAGAAATGTGATTCATAGTTTGGTTCAGTTTTTTAGAAATTGTTCAGTAAAAACCAAATTTACTTAACCCACTAGTTATGATTTATTTAGTAATGAAAGATTCAAAATATGTAGTATTTATTTAATACATAATAATATTTTTCAGTTTAACTTACTGTGCACTGTAAGTGGTAGTTAAGTTTATGTGCTAACTTTGGAGCATGCGAAAAAATCTTTATACACAAAGAGCATCATGAACTGAAAATGTTTAAGATTCAGTGTATTATGAAATCCATCACAAAATAACATTGGGTTAGTTACATAACGAAAATGTATTCTTCGTGAATAGAAAATGATAATTAGAAGAAGAAGAATGTAAATGACTAAATGCAAATATTGAACAAAAAAAAAATTATTTCCCCTTCCCTGTTATAAACAAATAATTAATAATTTAATGAGAATATAGAGCATGTGAAAATTCATGAAGGATCTGCATTTAACTTGAAAATAAAAATGCAATGTAGCATTTTAAATTAGCCAAGAAATCAACCTTAGATTGGCATACGTTATAAATTAGACTCCAATGATTTTGATGCAGTCAAACATGAGTCGCTTTTTTGGGGAAGCAAAGAATCAAAGGAGCAACAACTACATATATAGTAAATTTGAATTAATTTATGATATAAAAGAAACTGCACTATATCATTTAATGTCAATAATATAGTATGTAATATAAAAAACATTTACTAAAAACAAACAAAAAAAAAAAAAAAGCTTACTTTAATGTGATTTATAAACGTAAAAACTACTTTTGGAGCCAGTAGCTTTTGGCAGAAATGATTTTTTCATGTTCATCTGAAAGAAAACTGATTTCTTTTCAATGCGATCAGTTTGGAATCATTAACTTTTGCTTCATTAATTAGTTAAGTGAGATGAAAAAAAAGCTATTGCTGTAAATATATTGTATGATTATTTATTGTTGACAAAAAGAATAGAGTATAAATTATAACTCTTAAAATATTTTATAGTCATGTTTCAAAAGGAATCTAGTCTATTAAGCTACATTTAATAATTTGAAAAAGTATTTTTTTAAGTTAATCTAGTATTCTGTATGTACAGTTAATTATTTGAATTTTTTTTTTCTAATAATAATACAAAGCATCTGATATCTAAACCTGAATCTCTAATTTCTCAGGCATTCCTCAGAATTCTTCAAATGCACTAATTGAAGGTTTAGCTATTAGCCATGGTGATGGTCATATGACATCAGAAGAGATTGAAAGGCATTTAGAAGCAAAACAATCCTTACGAGATTTAATACCAGAAAAAACGCCATTAACAGTCCCAGCAGAGATGTTCAGCAATGAACCATCAGTGATGGAATGGTCTGTGTAATATCCTTTGTTTTTTATATCAATAATTGATTAATATGTATAGTTACTATTTCTTTCTCTATTATCATTTTAAAAATAATTATTGAATTTAAAATAAATTTTAATTTTTAAATCCATTACAAAGAAAGTAAAATCGTTGTATATTCTTTGAAAGCATTATTTAAACAGTTGTTTTATGGTTTGATTAAAAGAAAGCTATATATATTAACATAATAATATCTTCCTTATCCTAATTATGACGAACATCTTTATACCGTGTTTTGCTTTGCCTTCTTTACATTTTAAATTTACCAATTTTATTTAGAAAAACAGTTTTTAAATATACTAAGAATAAAAAAAGTTGTTTAATTATTGGCAAACATATAAGGACCACCATTATAAATGTACTAATTTAATAAAGTAGTAGGTTCACAATACACGTGAATAAAATTTTTTTCAAGTTTATATACCCAAAAACTATATAAGAATAAAATAATAATTTAAAAAAAACTGTATGTAATATTACATCTAAGGAAAAAACTTTGCATTGTAAAAAATAAAGTCAGGCTGTGTGTTATTAATTACAAATTAGCAATTCTTTACCCTTGCATTAAATTGATTTAAGGGTGTGTTAATTCTTATTTTTATTGTTTTGTGATAAGTTAATTAGCTTTAATTCCTTTTGATTTTTAGCCCTCATTCAAAAAGCTTTATTTCTAGTTAACATTGTACATTACTCTAACATAATCCATTCAAATGTGAAATTATCACATCATTTGTAATAATTATTGCATTAGTAGAAGGTAACCAAAAATGTTCTTGCCGTTTTGGACAGTCAGAAAGAAAAGTCATAAAACAAATAACAAACTAATCCTCAAATTAATCACCATCGGCATCCAATGCCTCTTGCCAGTGAGTGGCTACCTGTGCAATGCCATTGCGGTAAAACTCGTGAGTCTTGGATGCAAAGAAGTCCGTGAGGGTCTTTTTGAGCTCTGGCCAGTTTTTGAAGGATGTTCCACGAAGATTGTTGTCCAGGGAATGGAAAAGGTGGTAGTATGTTGGCACAAGATCTGGGGAGTGTGGTGGATGGGGTAGTGTCTCCCAGCCTAGTCGCCGGATGGTGGCCCTGGGCTCCCGAGCCACATGTGGCCTTGCATTGTCATGGAGGAGAAGTACACACTTACGATTGACCAATGCTGGCTCTCAGTGCCTGATGCACACGTTCCAACTGCTGCACGTGCAGGCCTGCCGTGATGGTCTGGCCCTTTAGAAGGAGTTCATAGTGCACCACTTGGCAACTTGTCCACCAGATACAGAGCATGATCTTACGGGGGGTGGAGAGAAGGTCTTGCAGTGTTAAGGCACACAGTCACAAAAGCTATGACAAGAAGAATACTTAGGTCTTTTAATTCAGCAGAATTTCAATAAGAACAGATAAGTTCCGGTGAAGTTGTTCTGGTTGGATGTGATAATAAAAAATGAATATTCTGGCCTTTGGTGTTAGTCACAGAGGTCTTTCCTGGAAAGGACAATCATGTGAGAGTAGTGAAAGTAAAAACAAAAGTAGGAGAACTCATACGCCCTGTCCAATGGTTATACCCTTTAGAGATTACTAATCCGAACATTTTACTTAGAGCTAAAGAACTTGAACGAAATTTCGTGCCAACTGTTTCTCATAAAAGGAACATTCCTCATAAATCTGAAAATGTTAAGAGGGACAGTGACTTTAAAGGAACTGATTTTGAACTAAACACTAGATGTGGCAGAAAAAATGTCAAACCTTCTCGTTATGAGTGAATTTTTTAAGTGTATGTTCTCTATTATTACAGTACAAAGTCTGTAATCTGGATGTCCATTATCCGGAATGATCTATAATCCGGGGACCTCAAAGCCACAAATCTTTTTTTTTTTTTTTTTTTTTTTTTTTTTCCCTGTATGCTTTATGCATGTGTGTTTAATGTTACGCATGTGCGTTTAATTTTTACACATGTGCGTTTAATTTTTACACATGTGCGTTTAGCACGAAAAATGAAGCTACTTAAACAACTTACATTGAAGAAATGTTTAATAAAGTAAACTAATAAATATTAAGCTTTTTGTTTTTGTAAATTTTGATACCCTTTAGATCATAATTGCTCTTTATTTCATAAATTACGGTTTCATGTTTTTAATTGTATAATTTCTGCATGCCATCTTACCAGATTTAAAGTGATGATCCAGAAAGACCCTTAATCTGGAATCGCCGAAGTTCCGATGTGTCCGGATTATGGACATTGTACTGTATTTAACTTATGTTGTTAGTATATTGAGTATTCAACACAACACATATTCCCTGACGTGAACTTCTGGAACCATTGCCTAGGGGTTCGTTTGTTAATGGCATCATCCCCAAAAGCCTGGCGAATTCGGCAACTTGATTCTGCTGCTGACAGGCCCACTTTAAAATCATACAGCAAACAACTCTGAACAAGAGCCTTTGATGTGTCCATTTCAATCAATCGCTGTGTGAGTTATGTTTGAAGTACCGATGCAGCACGCTTTTATACTTTTGATCAATGTTCAAACTCCCATCCTAACCACTTCATCACCAGGTTTGGCAACTATTTTTATGTGGGGTTCACTCTTCTTATGTCATATAAAAAATGGCAAGAACTTTTTTGTACCTTTCTTTATTATCTGTTGCAACTGAAATTGACAAGTTTTTACCATAATGAAACATGATTCAACTAGAATCTTTTTTTTTTTCCCCCAAATTATAAACCTCTCAATTGCAAAATCATTTAAAATGCTTTGAGAACAGACTGAAATGTAGTATTGATTAATGTATATATATGAAAACACTTCAGTAATTAAAATTGCAAAGCTGAAGTCATAATTTTATTGTAAATGTGTTTAATGAAGCATGATCTTAAGAATTTATTTTGATATCTTGTTTTTCAGTGAAATTATTGATGGTCAAGTTTCAGATATTTCTCCAAATAACGTTGTAGAAAATGTTGGAATAATGATTGACATACATGAATAGAAAGTGCATGTAAAAATTTATTCACTGTAAAATGACTTTTTTCCCTGTCTTTCGTATAAAGGAAAATGAACTCATTCGTTTGAATTCTCATTGTGTGTATGTATGTGTATATATATAAAACTTGTAATTAATATTGCATTTTTTATATTTGTATGTGTATATGTTATATGCTATTACAGAAATAAAATTAATTTAATTCAAAATCACTTGTTTTTCTGAATCTTCCAGAAAGTTGCCAAATTGGCAATAATTGCCAACTTAACGACATAATTGTTGCAATTGAAATTATATTATATCTCGCATTCTAATTTAGCTATTTTTACAATTCTAACATCATTGCACTCAAACTTAACCTTTTAAGATAGCGTGCATTTCTTTAAGATGTTCCATTGGGACGAATTGTTCCACAGGACACAGGTTTTACATGACTAAGCCTAACTTTAGGGGGCATCACCAAAAAAAAGTTTTATGTCCTAACGTCATGTTTTTTTAATACTAGTTTAGGTTGTTACTTAAGCTTTCATATACGTTAAAATTAGCATTTGATAATCTTTTGTCTTTATTTTTTTTACATGAAAATATGTAAAAAAAAATTGCTTTCTTTAACAAATAATTTTCAGAAGCACTATTTAAATTATTCCAGAGTTTTAATTGACAGAATACATTAACAAAATCAAAATTAATTTAAAAAAATATAAGAAAGACTATTTACAAGAAGTTAAATCTTGCAAAGGAAGTAGAAGGCAGACATTCAGTGAGCTCAGTTTTTGATAAAATGTCTATATGAGAATCACTAGAAATATTTTTTCTCTGGCTGATGAAAGAAAATGAATGATCACTTTCATCTGTGTCACTAATTGGGTCATTCACCCTGCGAGTATAGCCTTCCTCTGATAAATAATGCTTGCTTGCCATAATATACTGAAGCCAAGGCTTTCCAAAATAAAAAGGGAAGTACACAAAATATAAGCAATAAAAGCTGTGCGAAGCATAATAGAACCCCGCGTAGTAATTCCAAAAGACCCTACATAGTAGCAAAAAGAGAATTAAAAAAAAAAGATTCGAAGGTCCAAGCTCTGTTTGTTTACATTACACTTTTCCTTTTCTCCCGCAACAGCTGATACAAACATTACGCAGAATGTGATCACGCTGAAGGTCAGGATCCTAAAAACTATGTTCAGGTAATGAACGTAAGATGCCATTTAGTGGTCTTTAAAACATGTTTTGCCTTAAAATGCACATATGCATCCCATGTCCCTTACATTAGTTGTCCAGTAATGCATGGCTGTGAGAGATTTTTGTAGGAATGCAGATATAGGACATCTGTCCAGAAAGAGTTAAATGACCTACAATTCTCTGTAAAAGGTAAACCCTTAAATTCAAGATATGACCACTAGATTAAACACAAAACAAATCCAAAAATTATCAAGTTAAACAATAATTAAATAAAATAATGCAAAACACCCCACAACAGTGCAGAAAAATAAAAACACAATCAGAAAGGATGACTATATTTGCAAATGTTTACAGCACTGCCCCCTTAAAATCTTGTGTAATCTCCAAGATCAGGGATAACTAAATCTCATTATCGTAATAAGATGCAAATATATCTTTGTGTATAACCTTAGCTTTAGATGAAGAAGTTCTTTGAATATGCACCACTATATTCAGTTTCTAAATCACACGGTAGGGGCCTTCTCAGGATATCTGTAGCATCAAAGAGATCCCATGATAATGGGGTTGTAAAACCAGGCTTGATCTCCTTTCTTAAATTCCCTCTTCATTGACTTAGCATCATATCTTGTCTTCATCTTTTCAGTGGCTGTTTTGATCCTTGCCCTCAAATTGATGAATATCTAAATATGCCTACAGATCTTCCAGCTACTGCTCAACCAAAGAGGGTGCATCCAGTAGACATAGCCAAATGTAATTTGCAATGGAGAAAGTCCAATGCTCTCGTGAATAGCACTCTCACTTGTTAGAAGGAACAATAGCAGTTTTTTATCCCAGTTTTTGATAAAATTGTAATTATACTGGGGTTCTGTTACTGAAGTAGTACTTCACAGTACCCTTAGCTAATTCCACGATGGATCTTGTAATGAGAGGTACCTGAATAAATTTCTCAAAATAAGGGAACATGAAGAGATAATTAAAAGAAAGTGAGACACTATCTCTTATAGAAATTTCTAAGTCCAAATTTGTCAATAACATTTCAGGCTGTTCAATGTGGCACCATCTACTAGACAAGCCTGCTTTAGTTGTATTGATTAGGAAAATAAAGATGCAGAGTCAAAAGTCATGTGGCAGTCCGTCCTGCTGGCTCTGAGATACAAAGAGATAGAAATGGCCCAGGATTGTTGGATTGAATTTCTCTGCCATGCCATCTGATTTTGGATACAAAAGAGTAATTTGAGTCTTCTCCATTATGAGAATTTTAAAAAATCCTTTTAATATGAAAAATGTGAAGTTGGTTCTGTGATCAAAATGAAGGAGAGATACTCCAACTTGTGAGATTCAGTTCACTATAACTTTTGCTACAGTTGAAGCTTCTGGATCAGGGAGGGCATAAAACTTCTGGCCATTTACTGAATTAGTCTCTAACTACTAGAATGTACTTGTTACCCTTAGTTGCACAAGATAAAGGTCCAAGAATGTGCAAATCAACCCTCTTGAACAGTATTCTCACATTGTAGTGCTGTAATCTTCCTCGTGTAGATGTTTGCATGTCATTTCGAGCACCACACACATCACAGGATTCGCATCACTTTTCTACATCTACTTTGGTCTTACCTCAGAAGAAATGTTCATGAAGTTTATAAAGTGTCTTTATTGCACCAAAATGACCTCCAGTAAGGCTGCTATAACAACACTATGCAGTCGGGATATAAGCATCGTAAGCTGCCTTTAAAACTTATTCCATCATCAGCTTTCCATTTGCAATAGAAAACTCATCTTGCAAGTGCAGGGAATTCCACAAAGCCAGAGCCTTGCCAACACAATTTTTCACCTGAATCGAAGCGATAAATTCGAGCCCCTGTATGCAATACAAGTTTTCTGAACATTTGGGGGGGGAAGAAGAAATATATACATACAAAAAGCAAGTTAACTATATCTATACTTATCGAATAATCTAACACAATTGTTCCTGATGCCAAATATTTGGTATAAAGTCAAATATCAAAGAAAAACATTTCACTTCCTTGATTTTAGCAAGAATTAAAAATCGAATGTAGCTGCATCATTTCAACAGCGGTAAAGTTTTTAAAAATATATGAAGAATATATCTCAAAGTCATTTATTTCAATGAGCAAAGAAACAGAATAACATGCTTTTAAAAACATTTCACTGGCGATACTTTCTTTGAAAATAAGAGCACTGTTATAAGAGATTGGAATAACATATTTAATTTAGTGGTGGCTAATAGGCAACACTGATACATTTATGTTTCTTTAGAAAACTGTTTGGCACATGTTGTCCTATAACTAACAGTATCTCATATTTTAATATGAACTGTAATTTTGTTACATAAATTTTGCAATAATTTGTTCACACAATAAATTTATTTCTGCCTCAAAATCCAAACTTTACTACAGTCAATTAATCAATGAGCCAGTTCTTTAACTCTTTGCGGCACAGTGTGTCCGGTCTGGACACACCTAAAGACTTTCTGTACGCACAGAAAAATTGAATGAAAAAGGATTTATAGGTTACTTTGAACCTTCTTTATTTATAGTAGATGACAGCTCAACACAAAGCAGTCCATATATTTTAGCCATGTTTAGTTTTTTTAAGACCCTCATTTTTCAAAGAAATCTTCCAGATTTTTTTTAGGGTATAAAAGGAATTTTTGAAAAAAAATTTCTATGTTTTTTTTTTTTTTTTTTTTTTTTTTTTTTTTTTTTTCTGTATGCTAATCTTTTTATTCTATATTAGTTTTAAATTTTTACCTTGAAATCTGGCCTAAAATCAAACTGCGAACCCTAGGTGTGTCCAGACCAGGCTTACCGATAATCTAGGACAACTGAGAATCTGTATTCTTTGTTTGTCCACACCTCATCATCAGTTCATTGACAACAATGCTCATTTCAGCACTCTTTTTGAAGCTCTATTTAATCAGTGTGCCACTTTGGGCACACCCACAGAATTAAAACAATAACTGCTATCTTCAAAAAAATTTTACTTGTGTACTCCTCCAGGCCTAATTAGACTGCTTACCTTTTTATTTTAATAAAAACTCCAACTTTAAAAGGTAGCGTGCTGGAAAGGGTTAATATGTGCATACAGTTTATCATTCAAATCAGTTATTATAGCAAGAAAGGCTTTATTTGAGCTTGAAGAAAACTTTATTTGCTAGCTAACTCTTTATTTAAATATGGCCAATAGATGGGCTGTCTGAAAATGTTTTCATAGATTGTCTTTCTCATCATGCCCTGCCCGTACAATAAGATTTACTTCCTTACTTTTTTCCAGGTCATCAGTCAGCTAAGAGGTTTCAATGCATGAACTTTTACAAATGTTAAGTGCTTTGACAGTAATTTTCGTTCGCAGTAATAAGCAAGTTTGCCCGTCTGGTCTAACTGATTTTTATGTTTTGATTTCGTTTTCGTTTTTCAAATCTTTAAATCAACATCTTTATCACATTCAATTATTTTCCTTCCTTCATATTTCAATCTTTCCAAAACTGTTTTTCTTAAATTCCTTTTACAAGAACTTTTTTTTTTTTTTTTAAATATATATATATATTATACTGGTTTTATATAGAACGTAGAGGAACTAAATTTTGAAAACATGCTTCTTTATGTCAATATCAGTTATATTAAAATTAGACGCAATGGTTTGTCTTAAATCTTCCAACCTCCTTTTCTATTTTATGATGCTAAATTAATTTTATTAGTTCATTATATACAATAAAACAAATCAAAAACGAAGGAAAAAAGTCATGTCTTACCGTAGATATATTTCCATTCCAGGCATAACAAAGAATGAGATAGACTAATATACGATTCACTTAATCGGTCCAGGAATATGTTTCAGAAATAATCGTGAGTACAACCAACTGCACAGTTCCGCTGCAATGGACACAACCTCGCACCATGGGTCTTGTTCAACAACAAATTTTATACAAAAGAAGAAAAAACCTGATAATATGGTACATTTCATCTGCAAACTTCTTCGTTTGATCTTTGGATACTATTCCATTATGACT